TTATCCGTGCTTAATTAATATACGGAAATAATTTTATTATTTTATTAGTTTTTAAAAAATACTAAAATATAATATTTAAATATATTCGCTAAAAATATAATTATTTTTTATTAAATTAATTTTATTACAATTTTATCCGTTAATTTGCGGTATTTTTTTTATAATATTAAATATTTTTAATTTTTAACGGCCTAAATCGCTATTATAATAAAGCGTTTAAATCGAATATAATAAAATTAATTGGGACGTATTTTTTATTATAGGTACGAAATTCGATAAATTTATTTATATTGCGACGCGGCCGTATTTTACGCGTATTTATAATGCTAATAAATAATTAATAATATAGCTTTGCAATAATAAACGTTTTTATATTTTAATTAAAGCGTATTACTATTAATATAGCTTATATTTTACTAATAGCTTTAATATATTATACGGTAACGGATCGCGCTATTAAAGCTAAAAAATTATAATAGCTTTATATAATAAAACGTAAATAAACGTCGATATTAATATAAATTTTAAAGCTATATTACGCTAATTTTAAATAGCCGTCGATAAATTAAATATAATTAAAGCCGGAAACCGTTTATTCGCCGCGTCGGTATAAAATTTATTAATAATATTTAGCAATTGCTTTTTTTTAATATTTATAGTATAAAGGTATTAAAATATAATATAAAAAATAAAAATTAATATATATTCGAAAATGCCCGTATAAGCTTCGCCGAAAAAGTTTATAAAGCAAAATAGCGGATTAAAAATCGCTAAAAAGGAATTGCCGTATATTTTCGGTTTGCTGCTCGCGTTATTTATTATTAAGGCGTTAAAATAAATTAAGGTTTTTCCGAATTTCGATTACGGTAATTCGCGATATACAATAGCCGTTTTCGGTTAAAGCCCGATAAATTTATTTATCGGAGAATCGTGCTTAATAAAAATAATGCCGAATATCGTTATTAAGTTTTGGTTTTCGAATAATTTTAGGATAAATTACGTTAATTTCTTATTTTTTAATACGTCGTTATAAAATCTAACGATAAATTAAATAATTTAATTTTGCTTTAATAATATTAATAATAGCATTAAAGAATATTTTATTATAATAAGCGTTAATAATTTTATTTTTTAATAATTTAAAATTAAATTATAATCGTATTATTATATAATAAGTAAATAAAAAGCAAAAAGATTAAATATAAAAAAAATAATATTTAATTAAATTTATTTAAATTTAAATAATTTTAATTAAAAATTTTTAGACGCGTTTTAAAAATATTAGTTTATTCTTAATTTGGCTATTTAATTTTAAATTAAAAAGCTAAAAAAAAAAAAAAGCTTTATTCGCAAATTTAGAAAAAAAATTTTAATTTTAATAATACGGTATTAGTAAAAACTAAATAATTATTAGTTTAGGATAAAAGTTATAAATTCGGATTTGAATTATAAGATAAAAAAAAATATTGCATAATTAGATATTTTAAATATAAAACGTTTATATAAAAATTCGGATAAAAGAATTATTTATATATTTAAAAATATATTTTATAATTTATTATTTTATAATTCGTATTAGGTATTATTATAATACCTAATTTTTATTATATACCGTTTATATTCGTATTATTAATGCTATAATAATGCTAACGCTATATAAATATTTATATTATAATTATATAATTTTATTTGTTTTCCGTTTAAATATATTTAAATATATTTTTTTTTTAGGAGGCGAGTTTATTTGCTTATAATTTTTATTATATTTTTTTAAAATAAAGTTATATTGTTTTTCGAGTTTTTTTTTTCGGGTATTTGCTTAAAAACTTTCGAATAAAGCTATTAAATTTGCCTATAGCTATATTTTTAGCAATTTTTTTTATTTAGCGCTTAATATTATTAGTAAATACTAAAATTAAATATTATAAGCCGTAAATATATTAAGGCGAAGCGTATATTTCGTTTTTATGCCGCTATAATAATAATTAAAATATAAACCTTTAATAATATTTACGCCGGCCGAAATATATTTAATCGTTAGTTTTATATTATTTATTTTTTAATATTAATTATAATAATTTTAATTACTATTAGCGATATATTCGTTTAAAAAAATAAATAAATAATACGCTATAATTATAGCGTATTTAATTTCGGTAAAATATATTTTAATGGTTTTATTTTTTTTAGCTTATTTATTTCGCTTAACCTTAAAAATTGTTGCACGGATGTTAATATAATATCGTATAATGCATAAAATTAGCTTTATAACGCATATTATATCGTTATAATAGCTATAAAACCTATCGAAATATCGTTAAATAACGATATATAGGAAATTAATAAAATTTACCCTATATTAACCTATAGTTAATATAGCACCATTTATAGCCATTATTTATAGTGCTATATAATTAATAAATTATTATAATTGACTATTATGGCCACTATGGCTACTGGAACCCATTGGAATTTAGTGGAACGTTCCACTGGATCCAGCCCCACTAAGTGTGGCTAATTGTTGATTAAGGTGGTGCTTTCTTATTGGAGTTTAAACTGGTCTGATATTGGTGTCAATTGTGTGATGTATTGATCTATGTTCTGCGCCTCTTAGTTTTGATGAGGTGTACGCTTATTTGGGTGGCCCCGGCTAATCCCCGGGAGGTCCCGTACATCTATCTGGACACCATGGTGTTGATCCGTGTGCTCAAGCACACGCCAGTGTATGGGAACCATAGTCCACCATCTGACACTAATGCACCTGGCCATAATGGCCCTAGGTTACAAGGTAACCCATATTATAGAAATCTATAGATTTCGATGGTTTTTTCGATTATAAATTAACCCTATTACTAATTAACTTAATTATAAATCCAATCTATTAGTAATATATTCCAGAATATTTTTATTAGTTAATTTTATAAGTATAAAAGGTAGTTATTCCTCCGTAATTAGTTATTTTTTCCTTAAGCTTTAATAAATTAGTTATATAGCCTTATAACTACTCTTACGGCCTGATTCTACGAATTATACGAACGCTTCCCTGTGCTTAAGTTTATAATCCACCAATTATACCTTAAAACAAAAATAAAAAAACGCTAAACGTGCTAAAAAAATAAATTTAATATAAATTATATAAATAATATATAAAAATATATAGCTAAATATTTAAAAATATATCGCCCGATATTTAAATTTATATATTTAAATATTTATAAATATATTATTAAATATTTAAATATATATAGCTAAATATTAATAAATATATAACTAAATATTTAAAAATATATAAAGATATATTTAAATATTATTAAATTATATAGCTTAAAAATATTTAGAAAATATAGGAAAAATTAATTAAAAATTAAATAAAAATATTTAAAAATGTTTTAAAAATATTAATATCGGTAATATATTAAAAAAAAAATATATTTTATTATATATTTATTAAATAAATATCGAGTATTATTAAATTTATATTATCGAAGTTAATCGATAATTTATATTATATAATTAAGGTTAGTTTTGCAAGCTTCAAAGTTTGCAAAAGCTTTAATTAAAGCCGTATTTTTTTATTTAAAAGCCGAAAAAAATTTAACGTTATTTTCCAATTCTAATATATTTACGGTAAATATAACGGTAATTATTAAATTAAATTAGGTTTAAAATAAAAAAAACGTACGGAAAAAATTACCGATAAAGATAGGCTTTTTTTAATAAAATTTAATTAAATTTAAAAGTCCTTAATTAATATTTATATAAGCGCGCGTATATTTAAATAAAATTTAAAAATAATACGGTTTACACGCGGGATAAAAATAATATATAATATAAAAAAAATACAAAATAATATTAGCGGTTTATAACTAAATAAAAAAAATATAATTAATTTAATAAATAAAATTTATAAGCTATAAACGCGATTAAAAAAAAAGGATTATATATTTACCGAAATTTTAGGACCGGGTAAACCCGTATCCGTTAGGACCGCGGGGTCTACGTAATAAAGGCAGGTAGGGCAAAATTTATTTTGTTACAAACTGAGCTTTGAACCGTCGTATTTGGGGCATCTGGGAAATTTCTTTAGTGGATTTGGACTTTGGGTTAGCTGCGGTCGCTTCCGACGCCTCGAGCTTCGAGCGGCCGCCCCCAAAGAGCTGCGATGGGCTGGGGAGGCATGGGTGGACGAGATTGTCGGCGAGAGCCCGCCGACTAGGTCTATGTTTAATTTAGAAACACCGGAAGCTAAATACAAGGACCTAGACAAATAGAGTTTATTCGTCAGTAGCGTTCCCTCAATGGTGAATAACGACGACCATTCGACCCTGGGTGGAAATGCATTGGTCGGGAGGCTTCAGGTTCCGGGTGGTATTGCTAGCGCACCAGATCCCGTGGCTATATTGAACGACCCCCCCCCCCCCCTCCATCACGGGATGAAGAGAGCTGGAGAATGTCAATTGGACTACACCATACGTACATTTAGTATAAAGGACTGATTATCCGCGGTCTCTCGATCGTTTTGTGCTACCTGTTTACTTCCGTCCAGGGATCTTATTATCTAGGTCAGGTTAGTAGTTAGGCGCGGGGCGGTACCAACGACTTGCACTCACTGGATGCTGATGGGATTTAGCGCTCAGAGTCCAAAGGCCAAACATGCTTGTCCAGTGTGCTTTTGGCCATTACCCAGGTGAGCGACTAACATGAGTAAGCTTTCAAGGTACGAGTTTTTATAAATAACAGAATTGTTTATTGCTCATCCTAAATGTTCTAATTAACCGCAGCAGGAACCTACTTTGCAGTAAGGTATACACCCTACAAGTTGAACCATCCTCACCAGATACTTCGTCACATTGAAAAATTCAAACAAAAATAAATATAGCGATTGTCCCAACGTCCGATGCATGATATACTCCTAAAATGCGGCTCTTCTAATATCCTCAGGTATCCGGAGACGTGAAAAAGTATAGTGGTCCGCTGATGGCTCACGAGACGGTCGCTATTTAGTCAGTCGTGACAATGAGCCAGTGGCCATCAGGGATGTTGTTTGGGAGATACTTCTGCATGCAGACCGTGTCTCCATTGAACGAGACATCGGAACAGTCTCCCTCGGTGGTTGCCTTTGCGCCTACGAGATGATAATGGTTAGTCCTTGTCTCATCTAAAAACGTTTCGCGCATCCAGGCGATAGATATCGTGCGAAGTTCAAAAACTCACAGATGTATAGAGGCTGGAAGGTAGGATATCCTGAATGACCGGGTTCTGGGGCAATGTTCTTGGTGTTCGACCACGACTCGCTCTCAGTTGTACTCTCCTCCCAACCGTTGGAGAAGCTGTTGGAGAAGACAACAAATTCGGACCAGCCGACCTCGGTAGTGTCCTCGTGTGTGGTTCCGTGCATGATTTCGGTCCCCGTGGTGTAGGTGTAACTCCGGCCGCAGGTGGTCTGGTCCTTCTCGCAAGTGTCTACATCGCCCATCTTGATTTGTTCACCATAGGTGGTGTAGGGATCCTCCTGGAGGTTGACCTTGCATTCAGCGCGCTTTTGGAAGACGGGGGCTCGCTTAATCTTCGTGACATCTTTGGCGGTTCCGGGACTTGGCTGACGTTTCTTTGGCTCTTGGTCACCGGCGTCGCGCTTTTTCGAGGGCCAACTAGATATATTTTCGTTGCAAATGGACCCACAGCAGTATCTGTATAGTATCTTAGTTACTGTATATATATGATGTACACAACTTGAGAGAGGAAGGTTGGTTTTTTTTTTTTGGGGGGGGGGGGGGGGGGGGGGGGGCAGAGAGAGGAAAGAAAAGNGAGAGA